CCCCCCCCCCCCCCCCCCCCTTCTCGGAATCAGCGTCAGCTCGTCCAGCTTCACGTAGAGGTTGTCACCATCCTCCAGGCCCGCCTGGATGAAGCAAGCTGCAGGCTACGGCCCTGGGAGGAGAAGCTCCCCTAACCCCCCAGGTACCTACTGTACCTACTATATACGGTACTAGAGCCCCTAGGGCCCTATATAGTAGGTACCTGGGGGGTTAGGGTTAGCTTGTAAGGCAGCTGCGTGAGAGAACATCTTGCAACCACACCATCAGCATGCTGCAGAGATCTACAGCTGCTATAACACCCTCTGTCGACGCGAGCACCTGGAGCTTAAAACTGCGGGGCCCCTGAACCCCTAAAACGACCTCCATCATGAGGTTGTTCTCCAGCTCAATCGCTTTGCCAGCGTCGGCAGGACCAGCCTTGAGAAGGCTTCTTCGGAGCTCGGACGGTCCGATGGCTTGATGCTTCGCAATGAGTCGAGGTCCTAGTTCCGCTCTTGTCTGCCATGGCCTGATTACAGATCTTCTGACTAGCATGGCGAATGGCAATGGTGCAGATGCCGAGGATGCGCGATGCTGATGAACTTGACGCGAACGATGGCGACTACGACTACTGCTGCAGTCGATGTAGGTGTCACGAAATCGAGAACGATGCATGATGCTCTGATTATTCCTGGTATTGTTACGACTTGATATGCAGTGGTGGCGGTGACGGCGCGTTCATTCGAAGTGGCTGTCCGGGACACCGAACAAACGGTACGGCCGCAAAGGATTCTGAAAGTTCATCCATACCTAAGCAATTCTGCTAGCGACAGAGAGATTCAGCTTGTCCACTAAAAACCCCAAAGTTTGCAGACACCCTAGTAGAACCATTATCCCAACCCTATTAAACCCATATAGGGTGAAGGGCCGAAGGTGTAACCAACCCACGGGGTCTATGAACTTCGGCGCAAAGCGGGCCCCAAAGCCCCAAAGCCCCCCCCACCCCCGCCCTAAACCCTAAACCCTAAACCCTAAACCCTAAACCCTAAACCCTAAACCCTAAACCCTAAACCCTAAACCCTAAACCGCCTCTTCATCCTCCGAAATGGCTAAATCATCCGGAGCTTCGGCCTGGCAATGCCAGGGTGCCATGGTAGTGCGGAGTTCGATAGCAAGTCTGGGGGCCTTAATCATTATAATTGGGTTTTGGGGGGTTCCTGATTAGACTTATAGTATACTATAGCCCAAACCCTATTCTAATTATTAAGACCCCTATATTAATTCTGGGGACACTTGTCGGAACCCCGCTGTCCAGCACGAAGCCCGGTATAGAGCCCGTGATACATGCCGCAACATTTGCGACAAGGCTGTTGCAAATCAACTTAGGTAAGCGTGCTGTAGAAGAACACAGCTTGAACAGAATCCTCAACAATGCAACAACAGCAAGAATGACACACCTACTTCTGGCAGCAGAAATTCACATCGTCGTGAGGGCTGTAGGAGGAGCAAGCGGAGGAGGAGGAGGAGCAGGCATGCAGGACAGCTTAGTATGGGATGTTTCGCTCTTTTGCCCATCGCGGGACGGATCTCCGGTATCATACTCTTGATCTACATGACTGTCTGATGAAAAACTGGATTAGGCTTGTTCGACCTCGAGCCTGCGGAAACCTCGAGCTCTCCCCAAGGATGCTTTCACCTCCGAGTCGAAGGTGACGATATGCATTTTTGCAGCAAGCAAAAAGGTTGGCCATGAATGAAGCGCCAATATGCATATGTACATATTATATATATATATACACATGTATCGAGGCCGTCAGAATTGCAACAAGGTCCAGGGTATATTCAGAAAAAAGTATAATGAAAGGCAACGAACTTCTGATCATAAAGCCGACACGTCCGAAGCCTCCGCGTGCAGTGCCAGGTAAGGCTTGATCCACTCCGGGACCTTCCCCAAAGCCAGCGCCTGATCTCAGGCTTTAGGGTTTAGGGTTTATACGGGTTTAGAGCTTTGGGGGTTTAGGGCTTTGGGGTTTTGGGGTTGCAGGCTTCGTCGTATTTTGCCTGTCGGGGGCTCTGCCACTGAAGAATCTCAAGCGATCTTTGCCTTAAGCACTGCTTATAGAAAAAAGCAGAGCAAGAACATCTCTACCTGAGGTCCGAAGCCGACATGATGTAGAACTCCGAAGAGCCAAAGCTAGGCTCTTCAGCTCGTGGCTTGCCCTCAGCCTCACCTCCAAACCCGGCCCCAACGATCCCAACCCTCCGAAACCAACTTGCGAGTGTTTTAGACAGTCTTCCTTGGAGCATCGAGGTCGCCAGTCTTGCCTTCTTTAGAGAACCCCCCTCCCCCACTCCGACCTGTCGCATCCAAGAAGTCACGCAGACCACAACTCAGCAACCACAAAATACTAGGCGACACCCTAAGCGCTGTAATCATCCGAATAATCTGCTACTATTATTATTATTTCCTAAAAAATAATATGTATATATATATATATATAATTTGTTGAGGGGGGTATGTTCCACTATAAAGATATAAGGGACCACAAAGGGATACGACTATCATGCGTTCCGACCCCTGTAGGGAGCCCCGGAAGTTGATCTGCAAGCAGAATCCCGTGAAGAACCATCGTTAGGCGCAGTAGGGCAGCAAATATGGGTAGTTCTCTAAATTAGGGTCGCTTCTAGGGTACGTTTTATAAGGGTGCTGTACTATATTGGGGACCTAAGAAGGGCCCCTACTTTAGAGAACTACCCACATTGATAGACTAGGATTTCGAGTTCAGGGATTTAAGGAGAGGATCACTTCGCCCTGTAGTTCAAGCCCAAGCCTCTGAGGAGTCTTCTCAGGTAGGATCCTATGCAACAAGACATAAACAAACCCCAAACCCTAAACCCTAAACCCAAACCCTAAACCCTAATGAAGTTTCCGGCATACTACACTGTCGCTTCGGGCTTCGGACCTATAAACCCTCATAGTCGCCCTTACGGAGGCTTTTTTCGTATCCCTTACAGAGCCCCGAAAGCACTTACAGCACCCTTTAGACCAGGAACCTGCATAAAGGCCCTACTGTAGGGGCCTACATAATTACCGATACTATTTCGGGGGCTCCTTATCATAATTATAGCATAGTGGGCCCCAAAACCCTATAGTCTAATCTTATAAGGCCCCTATATTAATCCGTGAAGCCCCAGAGTTCCCTCAAGCCCACACCAGAATCTAAAGCCTACCAGCACTACAAGCATTATACCCCCGCACAAACCCAAAATCCTATAAACCCTATAAGCCCCATACCCACAAACCCAAGATCCTATAAGCCCCATAAGCTCTAGAAGCGCTACTTGGAGGTTCATGGGTAGTTATAAGTAGGGTAACTATAGTTATAACCCATATTAGGGGCCTTATAATCCCACTTATAACTACCCATGAACCTCCAAGCATAAGCCCTCTAGAAGCCTAGAGATGCCCATGGTCATCCGAAGCCTGGAAGGTCGTCTCTGGGAAGCTCCGCAACCGCAAGGTGTAGCGAAACCTTGACCAGCCCCGGCTTAAAAAAGGGCTTCGGGTTTGGGGAGGATAGCAGAGCTTGGGGAGTGATTAGAGCCAGTTGAGGGTGTTCTGAGCGTTTGGGGTGTGTTAAGAGTCTGGCAGAGTCTGGTGCCGGAGGCGTTTATGAGCTTGTTTGTAAACCCTAAACCCCAAACCCTAAACCCCTCAAAGGATTGTCGAGATTGGGATCTAGGGTGACGGAGTGTTCGCAGGTTTCGGGTTGAGGAGGCTTCTGGGTTTCAGTTGAGGCTTTAGGCTCTCGGCCAAGGATCACAGCAACAATAGGGTTCAGGGCTTAGGGTTTAGGGCTTAGGGTTTGGGGTTTAGGGTTCAGGTATAACAGCACACTGACAGGCACACTTTCGATCCTTCATATAACACTAGCCTTGGCACGGATTCGTAATTCAAAGGCTCGGGATAGGAACCGAACGGACTAACACTACCTCCTGGCACTTGGGAAAGCGGCTCCACATCCTCCAACTCTGCCTCTGGATTGATGGAGTGCTGAGCATACCTTGAGAGAAGGGTTTGGGATGGTTTCAGATCTTGTGATTGTTGGGAGGGTTGGGCAAAAGGCTTCAGGTTCGGCAAGGTTGTCCTAAACCCTAAACCCTTGCCCGAAAGTTACACATATTGCGAGATCCCCACATCGAAATCCTGACTTGTGCCCTTCTCTACATCTTCAGACGCCACTGGTCTTGTCACAGACAAGCTCTGAAACCTCAAAGCCTTGCAACCAATGATCTAAACTCGATACGATAGGGGCCTTGATAATCGAATAAGGTATGGGATGCAATATGCTGTAGTTATGTAACATGTACATAGGCACAGAGACAGGCACTACAAGGGAATGCTCCTACTCGTTCTTCAGGTCCCTGTACAAAGCAGACAGCATCGGAGTCCAATCCCAGGCACCAGCCATGGAAGGGGTTCACCGGCTCGCCCGGATTTGCGGCCACAACCCGGCTGATATCAGGGAAGCCCCAAGCATCTGGGTGGGCCATCATCACCTGAGACTCCCTGAAAAAACCCGAGAACTTAGTGCGGATAGGGCGTGAAGCGTGCAACCTTAGACCTTGCGTCGTTGAGGCTTTCAAGGGCCGCAGAGACGCCCGGCAATGTTTAACGGCTCGGGCTCCTCTAAGATGCTTCGAGAAACCATCCAAAGAGCTCTTACCGTAAAGCGACGCGCTTCTATAGATTTATATACGGAATAGGTTTGGTAGTGAGTTGCGGGTGCATCTTGGCGGGTTCCTGTACATAGCAAGGCCCCTTGCTTATATGCTCGAACTGCAATACCGGAGCTCCCTTTTTCAAGTCGTGAATCCTCGACTGCTCCTACACGAGACGGGGTTCGAAATACAGGTGCAGGTACAACAGCAGCAACGAAGCAACAACCACACTACTACTACTACTACTACTACTACTCCTCCTCCTCCTGCTGCCGCTGCTGCTGCTACTACTACTACTACTACTACCACCACCATCACCACCACCACTACTACTCCTACTACCACCACCACGACCAGTGCCCGACATCGACTACTACTACTTCTTCTTCTACTTCTACTGAAACGCGAAAGCGGCCATCCCCATGACGACGACCTCTGATAAGATTAACAGTTCGAAGAATGCGCTGACGATGACGCGATGACTACTGCGACGACTAACCACAGCAGCATCAGTAGCAAATGCATTGACCGCCGCAAGCACTCTTCACCAAGTCAGCTTAAGTTCAACAGCGTGCTGTGTTGCTCAGATCTGCCGTGGCAGAAAGAATACTTAATTAGGCTGCGGGTTCGCAAGCATCGCAGGCCGAACAAAAACCCTCACCACGCCCTCAATCAAGCTCCGGCCAACCGGTCCATTAGCCCTTGAAGCTGATGTGCAGCACCGCCTCGAACTCGTAAGCTTCCAAGGCACATCTGTGAAGTCCATGCGCATGTAAAAGAGGTGTGCCTTTTTCCGCTGGAGCTCGAACCAAACCACGCCGTTTACATCTTTCACCTTGGTTGCACACAGACACAACGGTTCATCATGCTTCCCACGGAAAGAACTGTAAGTACAAATGTTTCGGCTCGGCGTGTAAGACTGTCAGGCTGCCCGGGGCACATACATCCCTGGCTCACAGGGCCATACTGTTGATGATATAATAAATCCTGCACTATCGTAAAGGCCCGAAACTATGGAAGTTATGGTATAATTCTTATTGTGGGTAGTGCAGGATTTATATCATCAACCCTATGGTGTTGTTAGTTGACAGGAACATCGACGCTGTATGTTGTTGTTAGTTGGCAGGAGCATCAACAAAGAAGTACACAGACACAGAACTGAGCAAATACATGAACATAGATTTTACATACATGGATAATAGAAACATATGTTAAATATCCAAATAACTACATAAACTTTGTAAACAAGTGTGTCCAGTTTTCAGATCGTAGCGACGGGAGGAGCTTGCATGGAATTGCGCGTGCTGTGTTTATGTGACATTGCTTGTGCATGCATGTATTTGATGAAGACACCTGCCTGCCGACACGGCCCCAATCACACAATCGCTCACACACGCACACACACACACACATGCACACAGACTCACAAACAAAGACACACACACACATATATATGTATATATATATATATGGAGATCCAGTTCTTGAGATTAGGAAGTAGGTTTCGGGGTCTACAGGCTTTAGGGAAGTGGCGTGCAGCTTCTGGAACTGCTCCTTCGCTTCTTTGTCGCGGAGGTAGAGCTGGCTGAGGATGCAGGAGTTGCAGCCCACCTCGGCTCCGGGCTTCAACAGCAGGAGATGGAGCTTCGCAGTGCGCTTAGGGTTTAGGGTTTAGGGGTTTAGGGGGGTTTAGGGGTTTAGGGTTTAGCAAATCTGGTAAAGCACCACAATGGCTTTGAACAACATCAGCAACAGACTTTCTATAAAAACACCTGCATGGACTCGGGTTCGGGTTGTACCAGGGGAGCCAGCGGGGTGAAGAGAAACCCCACCTTAAAGGACTCGTTGACCACGTCGTTGAAGCCAGGTCTGAACATCTGCTTCCACTTGGCACCGGTCTCGTTTGCACGAGACAAGGCGAAGCGCATAATCCTTGGCCCAGGCTTTGATTATTCACCAGTAACACGGCGTTTCGAGCCAAAAGCGGTCTAGATCTCTCAATGTGGGGGCCTTAACAATTGGGATAGGGTATTTGCAGTATATTGTACTATAATTACAATAAGGAACCCCCAAAATAATATTGGTAATTATTTGAGCCCCTACATTACACTACACTACACTACACTATACTATGCTGTACAGTACTACCCTAAAGTGCCCAAGCGTCCCCGGATCGATACCAGCGGCCACACGGAGCGTGGTGTGCCGAGCCCGGAGATCTGTCTTGTAAGGCTGCTGCTTCAGCCTGAACAATATGCAGTCTCCCCAATCTGTGAACCCTAATACCGATACCCCGAGTCCCTGAACCCTAAACCCTAAACCCCAAAACCCTAAACCCCAAAACCCTAAACCACAGTAAGCTTCGGATACTTGGGACCTAAGTCAGAGCCGGCCTCTCCGACGTAAGGGGCTTGTTCCGGGGTCGGGTCCGAGGCTTTAGCTACAGAGTTTAGATCTCGGATTTTAGGGTTTAGGGTTAAGGTTTAGGGTTTAGGGTTTAGGGTTTAGGTTTAGGTTGGGGAAGCTTGTGAGCTACCAAGCCGATATGTAACATCTGCAGAGAAACCGGGCGAGCCCCAACTTCGTCACTTGGCCCAACAACCGGAAGCAAAAGACTGCCTGGGGTGCACAAACCCCCCAGCTTTTGCATCCCCACTAATTACCCTTCGGACGATATCCCTAAGATTCCGGATCCTCAGCCGACAGCCCACAGACTCAACCCACAGACAACAACTTTATCAAACCCCGAACTTCATAAATCATCGTTCTTCTTGAACCCAATTAGTTCTGAATACTCCACGTGATGAATACTCACAGGTATGATATCATGGAATACGGAAGCTCCTCCTTAGCCAAGTCGCTCCCAGGCCACACGTGCGTGGGTATCTACGACATCCATGAGCTGCGTGACTCCCCGCAGGTGCTCTTGCCGCACATTATGCAGAGAGGGCCGTTTTCCTGGGTTTAGGGTTTAGGTTTAATTTGGGCTCTTGGGGTTTAAGAGGGGTTGCCTGGGGTTCAGGGAGGTAGGGAGGGTTTCAAGTCGGTTGAGGGTTTCTGCACACGGCCTACAAGCCCAATCGCCCCCGGACGTGCGCGACAGTCAGCGACAATTTGAGCATGCTCTTCCAGCCCGACCCTAAATCCCTGAAGTTTGCGACATAGACCCATCGGAAAGGTCGAATGCTTTTGCATTTTGTATATATATATATATGCACATATATATATATATATACATATATATATATATATATATATGTATAATACCCTTCCGTGTTATGATAATTATTACTACTTTTTTGTTATTATATTACGATTACATATGTAAACACATAGACATGCGTTACATGTAATGCCAAGATGCTCACAAAGTCCCGCTCAGGTCTCGAGGCGGCCATGGTGGCAGGCGTGGAGCTGCGGCTATACGTGATCACTCCACCCTTAATGTCCATGATGTCCTCCCAAAAGGTTTTTAGGGTTGAAGGGACTCCACCCTTAATGTCCATGATGTCCTCCGAGCGGTTTTAGGGTTTTTAAGGGCTTTAGGGTTTAGGGCTGGGGGCAATATTTAGGAGTTGGGGCTTTGGAAGCTTGGGCCGTTTTCAGGTCCTTACGGGCATAAAACCCTTTAGCAGCGAATCCCATGTGCGTGATGTCCTCCTTGGCCTTGAGCTCAGCCTCCACCTGCCAGCGTGCAGCCACGATGTCGTCTTCCGGCGGCGCAGGCTCCTCCACTTGGAGGTTCATGGTTAGTTATAAGTGGGGTTGTAAGTCCCCTAATATGGGTTATAATTATAGTTATCCTACTTATAACCCTACTTATAACTACTCATGAACCTCCAAGCACTCTTGTTTCAGGGCTCGTCCAGTCTATGTCGGGTTATATCCGCTTGTATGGGCGATCGTGGTGTGGTTGCCGACCTTAAACCTTATCATCTCTCGCTCTTTATACATGTATATATATACATATATATATATATAAATATAATATACACATACCGGTACAATATACAATTACATATGTTTGTGTGTGGAAATACAAACAAATATTGATACACATATATACATATATATATATACACAGATATATAGTACGCACAGACATGTCTTTCCCAGGGTCGTAGTCATGGAACTATCGCTGCGGTTTCACGGCCATTGGAAACACTCAACAGTGCGCGACACTTTCCTGGTACTACGCCACATTGGCTCTCACAACCTCTCACAAGCCATGCCAGGAAGTTTGTCTAATCACAACGCCACGCATCAAACTGCAGCGTGTGCCTGTGTCCAGTTCTCGTACATGCACTCGTCTTGATGTCGCTTTTACATGCTTCAGGATCATTCCAAAACCGGCAGACCCTAAACCCTAAAACCTTAGTAGACCCTCCCTGGACTCTGCTGAAGACCCTCAGTAGACCCCCCTAAGCCCGAAACCCTACACCCTACGCCCAAAGCCCTAAACCCTCAACCTTAAACCCTAAACCCTAAACCTTAAACCCTAAAAGCCCTAAACCTTAAACTCAAAATACCCTAAACCGCCCTAAACCCTAAACCTTAAACCCTAAACCCGAAACCCTAAAACCTAACCCCTCTGCTCCTCGGGAGCTGGATCTGGCACGGGAGGCATCTCCCGAAGCATCCTCGACTTCGTAACCTGTCACAGGGGTTTAGGGTTTAGGGGGTTTAGGGTTTAGGAATTTAGGGTTTAGGGTTTAGGGTTTAGGGTTTAGGGTTTAGGGTTTTGGGGGTTTAGGGTTTAGGAATTTAGGGCTTAGGGGCCGTATACCTTAGAGGCCGTATACCTTAGAGGGCTTAGAGATTTTTGGGGGTTTAGGGATCTCATACTGTAGTTTCTCAGAATGAGCTCAAGGTTTGGGGATCTGGGATCTTCGGTTGTTAGTTCGAGGTTCAGGGGTCTCGTAGGTTTTTTCGGTGTTCATACGGGATTAGGGTTTAAGGAGCTTCACTTAGGCTTCCACAGGCTCAGCGCGGTTTGGTGGTACACTGTATGTAGGTTTTCGATGCGGAATTCACATGCATGAAACGACAGACCACTGAAAAAGACATCGCAACCCTAAACTAATTAGCCCTGCAAGCGCATCCCTAATTGTAAACCCAAACAGCTGTCTCTTCTGAAACCCTCACCCGGCTGCAAGCTGAATAGTTTGCTAGCAAGGCCCTTGAAGTCACCCAGTCTTCTCTTCATTGCACTGAATTGGCTGCACTGTCTCGCGAATCTCTTGGCATCCGCGAAACTATTGGCACAAACAAACACGAGCAACCAGGCAATCATAATGGTCCAACGATTTCAAACTCACATGAGACCGGTCAGTTCGCCTTGGACACACTGCAAAACCCCTAAAGCTCGAGCCCTACACCCTGAACCCTGCGAACGTACATCGGAGGCCTAAACTTGAGTCCGATGCACACCAGAATCAAGGCCTTCAATCCTACACCGGCACTTCGATTATTCTAGAATTCTTCCCGGACTTATTTGAACTGGAAGTTTCAGAAACCCAGCGAGCCGAATATAGAACCCTGGATAGGATCCAGATATCCTCATGATAACTTTCAGTACCTATGTATGTGTGTATGTATGTATGTGTATATATATATATATACACATGTTATTACGTATCTCTCTCACGTAATATATATATATATATAATGTGCGTGTGCGCACAACCTCATGATGAAAAGGACCCGCCAAGGAGTCCGCAATTTCTCAAACAGCCCTGGGAAGGCTGCTGGCCTCGAAAGCCGTCACCTGGGGCGGCCGGGCTTCGATCGCAGGATACTCGGAAATGCCTCCGAGAGATCTGAAGCTTGAGGGTCGGGGTTTAGGGTTTTGGGGTTTAGGGGTTTTGGGGTTTAAGGGTTTAGGGGTTTAGGGGTGTAGGGGTTTAGGGTTTTTTGGGTTTATGGGTTTAGGGTTTAAGGGTTTAAGGGTTTAGGGCTTTAGGGGTTTAGGGCTTTGGGTTATTAGGGCTTTAGGGCTTGAGGGCTTGAGGGCAATTCAGGGTTCAGAGGCTTGCAGTTCTTGGCGCGGGGTGAATGTGGCCGCCCTGATTGTTAGTAAAAACGCTCTTCACAACAGCAGCCAGCCGTATGCATCCTATACCCAAAGCCCTGAAACATCTAGACTCTAACCTGAACCCCCAGATCCCCAAAGCCACGCCTCAAAACACCTACGATCCCAATCTCCTGTTGCCCCAACATCCCAAAAACCACTAAACCCTAAACCCTACACCCCGAAAGTGAGGAAAAAGCCGCGCAGTCACAGATCCCACAACCCAAAGGCCCCCCCAACCTCCCCGCCCTCCCCAGTTTAAGATTTAGGGTTTAGGGGTTCAGGGTTTAGGGTTTAGGATTTAGGGTTTAGATTTTGGGGTTTAGGGTTTAGGGGTTTAGGGGTTTATCATTCAGGGTTTAAGGGTGTAGGGTTTTAGGGGTCCCCCCCCCCCAAGACCTAAGCCCCCAAGACTGCTCCGACCTGGGTAGACCAGCTCGGGAAGCTGCGTCTCTTGCTTGGCATCCTTGCCTCGCCGCAATAGGAGGAGGAGGCGGAGGAGGAGGAGCTGAGGAGGAGGAGGAGGAGGAGCTGAGGGTTTCACTGTTTTAGAGTTTAGGGTTTCAGGCTTCGGCATTATAGAATAGGGTTTTGGGAGTAGATTATACTATAATTATAATAAGGAGCCCCCAAAATAGTGTAGGTAATTACTTAGGCTCCTATATTAAGTTTTTCAGAAAGCTAGGGGATCTTTGCAATGATGGTATTAATAATCAGGAACCTTTGGGGATCCCGCCAGAAGGAGTCCATGAATCAGCTTCTTGTAGGGATCTGTAATTATCCAGACCCTTCAGAATTCTATACGGGGGTCGGTTTAGGGGTTTAGGGTATATTCTGAAACTTCCACGTGCTGTTTTTCTGTTACTTGTTGGGCGCCCCTTGCCGCGCGGAGCATCCGCAAAGATTTCAGGCCGAGCCAAGTCAAACCTATGTGTATGTATGTATATATGTTTTCTATATTTGCATAAGTATGTACATATATACACACTTCTATGTCATAGGTATGTCTGTGTTTTTGTAGACAAACATGGATACAGATACAGATATAGACATAGATATATGTACAGCTGTAGATATAGTTATGCAGTTGCTCTTGGAGTCAGGGATCAAGGTGTACACTGGGTCTGAGTTTGGGGTTTAAGGGTTCCGGGCTTCTGGGCGCATGGGATGTTGGGGCACAGCTCTCGGGTGGGACGAGAAGTTGGGGGTTTAGGGCCGTTCAGGGCTTCGAGTGAGGGTTCAGGGTTCAGATCTTGAGCCTTAGAGACCTGGAGATTATTTACCTGACGGGCCGGCTCTTTCCAATGCGGCAAAGAAAATCCAGGTCCTTGTTGATCTTGAAGTGGTTAGATCCGTTTCGGGGTCAGGAATTCAGCAACTGCAGTTTAGACATGCTCTAAACCCTAGACTGCCCATCTAAAGATTCTTCAGAAGCCATGGCATGTGGCAACCTGGACATGATTTGCAAACCCTGAGACCTTATAGCTATAGTTATACACCTGGGATTCACATCCAAAACGCCGAACATCCACCACCGGCCTTGTTTGGGTTTGTCCTTCATCTCGTCATAGTAGACCTGGGCCTGCCAAATCGCCAGCTCTGCTGAAGGGACGTTACTTCTGATACCGGTGACAGGAAGATGGTGCTAATGTGAAGGACTCTGCTTGATGGTGGCAGCGGAACTGGTGCCCACCCTCACCGTCGACTGGTACCTAGATGTCGCATGCATCACGGTCGTCGTCGCCATCGAGCTCACACTCGTGGTCATTGTCATCGTCACTGTCAGCATCAACAACATTGAGCTTTGCCATTCTAGCACAAAGTAACATCCTGATGAGTTCACAGCTGCTGCTTCTGCTGCCGCTGCTGCTTGTGTCAACTGCTGCTGATACCACTACTCCTCCTCCTCCTGCTGCTGCTGCTCGACCGCTGCTTCTGGGATCAACAGCAGCAGCAACAGTATTGAGTGTAAAAACAACATGACAAAGCCAACACCCACTCCTGCATGCCCCACGAAGCCTCAATGCCCCAAACCTCGAAGACCACAAGTCTACATACAGCGAACATATCTGTGGACATCCGATGAAGCGGTATTCTTCCCGCAAAGTCTCGGCCCTCGCAAGGATGCAGGATTGCAGCAACCGCTCAAACGCAGGAAATACGAGACACAGCATACGCAACTACACCCGACAAGCCCGCTGCGCACTGATACTACGGATACCGTCCATGCGGCCCAAAAACGAAGGTACAACCACCCTAGCCTTAGACAAAGACCTCAAAAACCTCAAAACCCTAAAGTCCCCAACCCCTACACCCCTAAACCCTAAACCCCGAAGCCCTAAACCCCTGAACCCTACACCCCTAAGCCCTAAACCCCTGAGCCCTAAACCCGTAAACCCGGCCTGCTGCTCTACCAGCGGTGCAGGAAGGGGACCGGCTGGGATGGCTCGGGTAGCTGGAGGTCCGGGTTCTTCTTCCACCTCCGAAGGGTTACTCAGGGTTTTATCAGGGTTTAGGGTTTAGGGTTGTGGGTTTGTTAGGTTTAGGATTTAGGGTTTAGAGTTTAGGGTTTAGGGTTTAGGGCGTTTTACGAGGGCTTGTCGGGATCAGGGCGCTGCTTCGGCTTTGGGCGCTGGGCTTGGAGGGCTGAAGGTCCAGAGAGGTCGGCTTTCGATTATTGGATCTGCTGTGTTTTATGGCTTAGGGTTTAGGGTTTAGGGTTTAGGGTTTATGGCGTGGATTTGACGCTGATGTTTCGGAGAGCAGGGTTTCTGAAAGGCTTTAGCAGACTCTTCTCGAGCAGAATCATGATCGGGGTGTTGTAACTGCAAGAGACATGGTGCAAAGTAATACTGACACTGATACAGGTACGGCTACGTACGACAGCAAAAAGAAAGCCACGGCCCTAGGCTAAAATAGTTAGACAGCAGCATAATAAGGTAATGTAGAAGCCGTGATAAGTAGAATAGGGTTTTGGGGTCAACTATACTATACTTATATTGAGGAACCCCCCAAAATAGTATAGGTTATTGTTAGTGCGTAGGCCCCTATATTATTAGTAAGGGCCTTCGGCACTCGAAGATACTGTCTCTGTCGTCTCGCAATAGGCAAACAAAGTAGCAATCCGTCGAGCCTTATTCGACCTCTGATGGATGATGCCATACCTAAACCCTAAACGGCCCTAAACCCTAAACCGTGGCTCTTTCCGGTCTTGGGGTTCAAAGGTATGGGGTCTTAGGCGACAGGGTTGTCAGATCGAGTCTTTAAGGCTTAAGGTGCAGGAGTTGTTGAAAGTTCTTGGAGGGTGCGGGTTGGGATTTAGGGTTTCGGGCTTTCTCAAACTCCGTGCTTGGAGTTTACATAGTTTACGTTTTGTCAGAACCCCTAGTAGGCGGAGTCGGTTCTGCTGCCCGAAACCCCAAAGCTGAATCCCTCACTGCCGGCCTCATCGTCGCCATGATGCTGCTCCTGGTTCTCGAAGTCCCTCATCATTTCTTGGTACTCTCCCACGGAGACCGTGTAATTCCTCAGCCAGACTACCCCCGACATCAACTCAACAGCCGAAATATATGGGTAGTTCTCAAAATTAGGGTTCCTGTTCAGGTCCCCAATATAGTACGGCACCCTTGTATAAAGACCCTATTTTTGAAAACTGCCCGTATAGTAGCTTTAGTCCTCCGATCACGCCACAAACTAGCAACCTGCGAGCTGACCGCAATGAGCGTCGGCACACCGGTCCCGAAAGAAAAAACCTCGTGAGAAGGAAAGAGAACCATCACTGGGGCTTTAGGGTTTCGGGTTTAGGGCATTTCATATCGGCTTGTATGGAGTTGGTGAGGAGAATCATGGAATCAATTAACGCATCCTTGATCGTGTCCAGTAGAAAGCACTTCCAGCAGTCAGATTCTCGAGTCAGCCTCCAAATTCGATTGAACCATAACATACCGTAAGCTACCATAATATACTATAGACTACCAAACTCTCGCCAGGCCGGCCAAGTCTCTTCGGAAAGTAGCCAAGGGTTTCAGGAACTCCCTTGAGATGGCCAAGTGCCCACTCCGAGCCATCATCGTGGACGATCCTGGTTTAGGATTTAGGGCTTTCTACTTTGGAAACTGTGCGGGGCGGGGGGGGGGGGTGCATAATCAAGGCCACTGCCAACCCTAAACGTGCCAATGCCGATGGCGCTACTGCCATACACAACACTAGACTGCACCTGCCACGACGACAACAGCCAAAACCATCAACGGCAACTCAGCATTCAAGGTATCGGAGGGCAAGACACATGCCCAACAAAGAAAGGTGAGGGTATCCACAAGTAATAGTTGCAACTTATAACAAAGGAGTAACAAATGCCAAGCTCCGGGGGTGACACCAGTTTGCTAGAAGTCTCGTGCTTATAAATCAGAATCCAGGTGTCTGGGGGCTTAAGAGATTTGCACGTTTCGCGAGATTTTGGGGGGCCTTCTGGCCTCGAGATTACGGCTGTTGGTCTAGTGTAGAGCGTAGGGCTCGAGGCCGGTAGCCTATGATTTGTGGGTTGATGGTCAGGGTTTAGGGTTTAGGGTTTAGGGTTTAGGGTTCATGAGCTTAAACTCCCAGGACCCTTAAACTGTCTTGGGGCTTCTGCCTCAAGAGCTACACAGCTCTCTGATCCACAGAGAAGTGCCGAATGGAATTGTTCGTCAGCCCATCAGAATAGCAAAAACAAAAATACTAATTATCATAATAGTAACAGTAGATATCATGGTACTAGTAATTATAATACTCGTAATTACCCACAGTAATTGATAACTATAGTTCTAGTCATAACTCTGCAGCCTGCACCTGAACTCGATGGCCTGATGGCACCCCCCTCCGGAGGCTCAAAGTTTGCAAAGAGTTTAGGGTTTAGGGCTTTGGGTTTAGAGTTTAGGGTTTAGGTTTTTGGGGTTTAGGGTTTAGGTTTTTGGGGTTTAGGGTTTAGGGTTTTGGGGGTTTAGAGTTTTGTGGGTTTTTAGGGATTTTAGGGGGTTTGAGCACCCGTAGACGCCAACCGCTGAATCCTCGCCGTATGAAATTCAGTATGCTCTCCACCGACTTACAACTCTGCCTGCTCGCACTCTAGAGTGTTGGGCCGCTGGGCCTCAAAATGCCACAGAAAGTTGAGCTGAACCCTACCAGCTTCTACAGGGACCTTTCCTCCACAACGGTTTTGGTTAAGCCCTCCCCTAAACCCTAAACCCCTAAACCCCTACCCGGGGCCTCAATAATTACCCATATTATTTTTTGGGGGCTCCTTATTATAATTAGTATCTTGGGCCCCCAAACCCTATACTAATGATTAAGGCCCCTATATTAAACCCTACCAACTGACCCACCCTAAACCCTAAACTCGAAACCCTAAACCCTCAAACCCTAAACCCTAAAAGCTCTGGTCCCGGACGAGGGGCTCTACAACTTGACCGGTGCTCAAGGCCAGAGGCTTCTGGCGATTGAAGGGCCAGTCGATCTTCGAAGGATCGAAGTCCTTTTTGGGTTTAGGGTTTGGGCTTTGGGGTGTAGTGTTTAGGGTTTAGGATAATGCAGGGGCCTTTATACATTCGAATAGGGTTGATTGGGGTATAATACGATAGTTATCAAACGGAACCCCAGAATAGTATAGGTAATTATTTAGGCCCCTGTAGTAAAAGCCTTTTAAAGTTGATCTGCTTGGTCTTGAGGTTTCGGGCTTTTGTAATTTTGGGGGGGGAACTACCGGAAGTTGATCCTTTCCTCAGAGACTTGCATTAGGCTGTGGCTTTCTGGCTTTACTTTGGGTGCCGCTGCTTTGAGCTTCCTCTTCGGGAGCTTTGGGGACCCCCGCTGCCATGTGCCAGCAAGGCACATACAGGGCCACCACCTTGGTCTGATCCGCGATTTTCGATGGATCATCGTCCTCCTTGCTTTCCATCGCACGGCCTTCGCATCTCAGGTTGCAGCATTGCAGTGCCCGAACCCAGAAGGCAGAAACAACCGCGCGAAGCCCGATAGCCTTCCTTCCGAGAGCTACCCTGCCAAACCCCGAGGCATTGAAGCCTCCCTGCAGCCCCGAAGTCCAAACCCTCCTTGACCCCTAAATCCCAGTAAAGCATGTGCAAGATTCCAGGGGGGGGCATTATTGCAAACCCATTCACACGATAACCCCAAACGGCCCAAACCCTAAAGCCTGAAGCTTTCTAGCCCCCTACTGACAGACCTAAGCCTCCCTACCCCTCAACCCCTAAACCCTCAACCCTCAAAACCTCTCCCCCTGAACCCTCAACCCTCCGCCTGCCCACAGGTCCGGGGTCTCAAAGAGCTCCCCCGGCACCCTTTGAGCGGCTTTGGAGCCCAAGCGCAGCGGCGAAAGCGCGGTAGAAAGAGGGTGCAAGCGCTTGAAGGCTTGCAACCACGGTTTAGGGTTTAGGGTTTAGGACTATTGGTGGGTGTTTGGCTTTGCATTTAAATTTTGGCGGGGTGGGCCATCTCAAGCTTGGGCCGTCGGGAATCTGGGGTTGTAGGCAGTGTTCTAAGCATAGGCTCCCTGTTCAAGCTTTGTGTATTTAGTGGTGCTCTTGGGAGGGGGGCCCTTGCACGAGGTATAGGTTGCCTAAGGGTTTTTAGAAATGGCAAAATTTGTGACAAGGGGGATTGGTAGCCAGCTGAAGGGTGCGATACCTCACAGGTGTCAGGCAACACAAGGGCCCCCTCAGATGATCGTTCCTAACGCCAGCATGCCCTAAGCAGCGGAATCCTTATTACATGGGCCCCGGCCCGACTGATTGAACCAGCTCTGGGTCCTCAAGCCTGGTCGTGTCAAGGGCTATCTCGCCTGGCACCCCCAAAAAACCCATCAACAAGACCTTATATTATAATTGAAGGTACATTAGGTAGTTCTCAATATCAACTTATAGACAGATGCTCTAACCCCTAATTAAACCACTAAGCTCCAAGTCCTAAACCCCCTATCAGCTCCGAGCCTAGAGCCTGAAACCCCTAAACCACCAAGACCTAGACTCCTAAAGAATAGCACATGACACCGCACAATTCCCCTACCCTAATCCCTTAACCCCCCTCCCCTAACGTCAACCCTAAATTTTAAAAAACGCCTTGAAGCCCGAAACCCCGAAGCCTGGAACTCGAAAAGATCCCAAGCCCACCAGAACGCAAGAACTGAGGCCCGACTGTGGGTTTAGGTGTTATAAGGCTTGGGCAGACCCCAAAATAACCCTATACACCCTAAACCCCTTAACCCTAACCCTAAACCCCCAAAACCCAGAACCCACAGCCCAGAAGCCCCAAACCCAGACCCGAACACCCGAAAGACCCCGCGAGTCAGCACTGAGGGGAGGGGAAGACCTGAGGCCAGGCATCGTCATTCAGGTCCAGCCCGATCTTCCGAAAGATCCTTTTGGATCTTTGGGTCTACGGGCTCTGCGGTCGTAAGAAAACAACTTCCAATATGATTCCTTAGAGGTGGTCTTTTGTAAAACCATACATATATATATATATATATATGCATGCATGCATGCATGCATGTATGTATGTATGTATGTATGTATGTATGTATGTATGTATGTATGTATGTATGTATGTATATGATGATGTACACACACAGTGTAGGGAACCCGGTTGCCTCTTTGGGGGGGGGGTTAACAGGGTTGAAACGAGGCTACCCTACCGTAAGGAAATTCTACAGGGCTTCTATCACGGGGGTTGGGGGCATTGGGGGGTTTAGGGGTGCAGGGTTAGAGGTCGGAGATTTCGTGTCTCAGTGTCTTTATCAACTCGGGCTCTGGAGCCTTTCATAGGATCGGAGATCGGGCAGTTCGCAGTCCATGATTGATGCTTTGAGAGCCCTCTTTCCTTGTTGGTGATGCCCCGTTATGGCTTGCCAGGTCGCAGAAGGATTAGATTTTAGGGTTTAGGGCGTGTAGGGTTTAGGGGTCCTACTTTAGGATATCCGTAGTTTGGCTAGCCCTGGCGAGCCGTAAGACTCCCCGGGGTTGCCGGTGCCAGGTCCCAGGTACTTTCTCAGAAGCATGGAGAGGGTGGTACTTGCTTGTTGTTGGTAGACAGTTTAGGGTTCCGGGTCTACAGTGTGGGGTTTAGGATGCATGTTTGGTTTGGGATTCCGCGTCCTAACCCGGCGGCCCTATGTTTCATAGGAGGGAAAAGCTTCACCTTCGCTATTCAAACAGGATCATATGGTCGGGTACAGTAAGGTAGTGTGCACTGCACAGCTCTGTGTACTGACGCATCTATCTGCACGAACCCCCGGGCAAGGACCAAAAAGCACCGGCATCCATGAGATCAACTGCATCTGAGATGCGTCTTCAGCTCGCCAGGAGAGATTTTGTTGTTGCCTCGACGGCTCGGGCCGACATGCGCAATCCCAGGACATCCCCTCCAGTAAATCAAGCACAGCACATAAGACGCCTGAAAACCAAAGAATGGATATCAACCTTCAATCACCTTTGAGATTTCAATTTCCCCTAACCCCCCAGGTGCCTACTATATAGGGCCCTAGGGGCTCTAGTACCCTATATAGTAGGTACCTGGGGGGTTAGGGTTCATTGAAAACGCGACACTCCATCTCCCCTCTTGCTGGGCCAGGCAGCGCTCTGTCCGCCGTCGGGTCTCTGCCTGCTCGAAGCACCACAGACGCACTCGCAGCCAACACGCCCTTAAGCAGCATCAAAGCTTCCGAGACATACCAACAAAGGACAATGTGATCCCTGGTGCCCTTTATTGAAACCGTCTAGTAACCGACTAAAGCCCACATGGCACCCCTGCACTCCGCTCAGCATTGACCCCACCATTTGTCAAACTGCGCCTCCGTCCTGTAGCAGAGTATGTCTCGAATTCTTCGGAAAAGGTGGGGGTTCAGCAACTAGTGAGGGGAGCCAGACACCAACGACGAAGAGACCCATCTCGTTGGCTGTGGGTTACTCGAAACCACAAACCCCCAAACCTCGGCGCAATGTAGGGGCCTTTTTAAATACCAAAAATTACTATTTTGAGGGTTCCTTATTGGAGAGAGTACAAGGGGCCCAAAACCCTATTCCAATTACTAAGGCCCCCTAAATTCAACTTAACCTAGACTTGCACCCTTATCGAACATGAAAGGTCCTGAAACCCCTGAAGCCCTTCAAAAAAGCCGTAACCCTAAAAACTACCTGAAACGCCCTATCAAAAAACCCAAAGACCCTGAACTCTCAACCCCCAAACTCTAAACCCCAAGCGCTTAAAAACCTGATGACACGCCCTAAACCCTACACCCCAAAACCTGAAAAGCCTGAAATATCAACCCAAACTCTAAGCCCCAAACCCCAAACCCCCAAAACCTTCAAAGCCTGATGACATGCCCTAAACCCCAAACCCAAACCCAAAGCCCAAACTCTAAACCCTAAACCCCCAAAACCCAAAACCCAAACCCTAAACTCTAAACCCTAAACCCCAAACCCCAAACTCTAAACCCGAAACCCTAAACCCCCCAAAACCTGAAAAGCCTGATGACATGATGGGCCTTCAGCTGCTGGAGAGACTCTGGGCTCAAACATCTGGCCTCGAGCTACTTGGAGGTTCATGGGTAGTTATAAAGTGGGGTTATAAGTAGGGTAACCATAATTATAACCCATATTAGGGGACATATAACCCCACTTATAACTACCCATGAACCTCCAAGTAGAAAAGGGGACCTCTTTCGGTTCAGGGTTCTGTTTTTGTAGGGTTTAGGGTTGAGGGTTTAGGGCTTTTTTTGAAGTGTAATGTTTAGGGTTCAAGGTTTAGGGTTTAGGCTTTAGGGTTGGTTTGTTTTTAGGGTCTAGGGTTAGGGTTTAGGGTTTAGGGTTTCTTTTTTAGGGTCTAGGGAGGCTGGTTTAGGGGTTTCGGCTTTATAGGGTCTAGGGCCTATCGGGTATCGGGTTTAGGGGGTCTGGGGTTATCGGGTTTAGGGTTTCGGGTTTTGTAGGATTCAGCCAGTAGGGATAAACCAGCAGCTAAACGCACATGCAAAGAACAGGAGTCTGCACTTTTGCTTGGCCAGCCCAAGTCGCCACCGCCAAAGGCATGAATACATGGGACTTCTGCACGACGGGTGCTACAGCCAGGGCCGTGGACAGAACAGAAAAGCTCTGGGTTGCAATCTACAGGAACGAGAGAGTCTCTTTGTCGGGTGAGCTGAAAGTAGCGACACCAAGGACGAAGCCACCATAGGCCGAACATACTGAATGAAGATCAGCTTAGCATGTCTGCGTACCAAAAAGAAAACGACCTAAACCCTAAACCCTAAACCCTAAACCCCAAACCAACAACGGGTTCGGCAACAAAACAGCCGAAGCTGGCAGAAGCAACTGGAAGCAGGCTGCACCAGTGTCCATAACATTAGCCCCCGAGGCGATCTCGGAAATCGTGACGGTGGGGTCCTGGCATGCAGACACTGGAATCCGCGTCCCTCATGTCTGCTGCTTGGAGGATCAGGGGAGTTAGTTAGCAAGGCTATGAGTACTTTAATTGGAGTTCTGAACAGCTGGATTCATCATTACCTGGGATCCTTTTATGAAGTCGTTTTGAACTTCCACTGCCTGGACACCGTGCTTGGTAATCTAATCGAGGGGCTTAACAAGTAGAACAGGGTTATGGGGCATATCATACTCTTCCTTAACTATGAGAGAGACTCTGTGGACTAGTATTGGTGATTATTCCACTTCAATGTTCAGGAAGCTTTCCTTTGCGGGCATCTGCGGGGGCCGAACTACCACATGAACGTGCTGCCAGACTGTATTGATGATATGATACACGGGCCCTGCACAGACTATCGTCATCATCATCACCAGGCTCGCGGTCAATCTCGCCCTCATCCTTACCATCAGCGTGGTGTTTGAAGCCATGGCTCCATAGAAGCATCCTGAAGCCTACCCCTCAACACAA